ATTTATAAGAACGCCCCACGCTTTTATTTTGAGTCATAAAATTTTGTATCAAATTTGAGAGCTTAGCAAAAAAAATTATTTTCTCCTTTTTAGTGCTCTGTAATCGGAAATAAAAGCGTGCTTTTTTTAAAAAAAAGTTTTTTTTAAAGTATTTTATTTTCTACTTTTTAGTCTTATGAAATCTCCAAATCGATTCAACTTCCAAAATTCTAAACTTCACTTCGTTTCACTCCGTTTCGTTCAACTATTACCAGTTTTTAATGGGTAATTAGTAAAGACTATCAAAATTTTTCATTCGTTTTATATAATTTAATTCATACTTGAAAACACATTAAACTCTTAAAAGTGTCCTGAACATCAATTAGTAAAGTACATTAAAAATCAATCTTAAAGATTTTGTGTTTATTCGTACCATTCCTACTACATAACATGTAGATTCTTGACATAAAGATGCAATTCACATCTTTATGTAACGTATTTATAACGGATTTTTCAAATTTCAATGAATTTCATTTATATGTTATGCAAAAATACGTCAAGCTTGCGTCAAGCCGTTAATAAAAAGAAAGTGAATTTAATTAAATGTTGGTGAATTGTTAAAAATCAATCTAATACATTAAAAGCATATATATATATATATATATTATGCTCAAACGATGTGTGCTAAATGCATATTTGCATATCAATAGTTATTTTGTATTAAAACGTAACTGACTTGCGCTTAGCGGTTTTTTTTTGAAATTCAAATTTTCACTTACGAATATTCATGAAAAAATTACTTGTCAATTTTTTTGTCCTACCAGAATATCTTTAGCTGTTCAAATTTATAGTATAATTAATAATTAATAATATTAATTAAACTATAATAAATCATGTAAATGACTTTTAAGCATTTCAAGTATAATATTTTAAACAAATCAAAATTATGTCATTGACATTGGATTTTTTCCCATATAAAAAAGTTTTACATAAATTGTACTATACTGGGGGTCCTCGATTTGAGTAGTTGTTTTGTTCCAAAAAATTTCTACTCAAATCGAATCTATTCAAATCGAGGCAAAGAATCCATACAAAATCACATGTTTTGTTCCAGAGTCCAAAAAATGTATCAAAACAATGAAAATTATGATAATTTTTTGCACATTTTACCTCGTTTCTTAACTTTACCTATGTGTTTTAGATAACTTAATTTATTTCGACGCATATTCATATTGTTTTTAAACAGAAATTCACAAGAAATATGTTTTTGAAACAAAACAAAAATATGAGAACCTTGCAAATGTTATTTAACCGAACAATTTGTAGGGTTTTTGAATTTGAACTTTTTAAAACCGTTAATTTTATATCAATTTTTTTTAAATTTTTACTTTAATTTTGTAACTTTAGTATTGATTTTTCGATCAACATGATAAGTTCACGCTTATTGCAGAATAATTTATGTTTTAAAAATATTTTCTGAAATGTTTTTATCAAAAATATTTGTTTTGTAAACAATTCAAATCGAAGAAATCTACTCAAATCGAATATTTTGGTGAGTAAAAAATTTTCTGTTCAAATCGAATCTACTCAAATAGAATCTACTCAAATCGAGGACCCCCAGTAATTAAGCATTTTTGTGGTTTCAAAGTGTTAAAATATTGTATTGTCACCGAGAATAAGTGTGCATAAAAAATTTGAGCTCGATTGGAGCAGTAGAAGTGATCGAAATAACGATTACAAAATTTGACGCATGAAACATACAAACAGTGTGAGTTAAATAAAAGCGTGTAAAAAAGCGTGTAATAAAAGCGTGTAAAAATAATTAAAACGCAATTACTTTAAGTGACGCATTTCTTGTTTGAAGACAGAGAATACAAATTTCTTCATTTTATCGCCTTATGTTTATTTTAAATAAAAATGAAAAAGAATGAATAAATAATCAAAATGCACTTGATAAGAATGAAGCATTATGGTGAGTATGTAAACGATGAAGTTGATCAACTTTAAGGATCATTTTGTAAATGATGTTTAAGACATTTTCAGTTACTAGAAGTCACAGAATAGTGTCGTACTCTAAAGGTAGGTGAATCTGGCAGTGCAAGAGCAAGATCTTTGTAGTCGATTGATTAAACAATATCTTAATCTTTCGTTAAGACGAAGGTACAATCCCACTTCCAATTGAGTAGTCATTCACTTTAATCTACAAAACTTCAATCAAACCAGCAAAAAGCACCGAAAAAGACGCTTTTAATAAATAAAATTTCATGAATGACTAATCCAAGATTAATCGTATGCCTGATAAATCTTGAACAAATCCGAAAAATCGAGCATAATCTGCCATGTCATTTGGATGACACCTAACTCAAATGATAGTGAACATTTACAAAAATCTAGTTCTCAAATCGTTATTCGATCATTTTAAAAGAAACGCAATTAACAACAATGTAAATATTTAATGCTACATCTGATAATATATAGCTTTTGAAGATCAGTCGTCATTACAATGTAAACATATTAAGTGCATATTATAACAAAACGCTTTGTTTGGCTTCTTTTTAATTTTTACACGAACGCGAAGAACTTCTCGCCTTGCCTATCATACTATATAGTACTCGTGATTTCATTCACATAATTTATATTTTCATGAGTACAATAATTTTCGGATGACACTGAGGGTTATCACGTTCGATTGTTTTGGCTTAAGTAATTTTTCGCCACATTAAAATAATGTGAAAAAAATAAAAAGAATCATCATTTTTTTGATGGTTTAGAATTCAAAACACAAGTTTTGTTTGTAAACACGATGTCACATGAAATGATGATGATATCCTGTGACTTTAAACTGGTTGTTTTAGTTTGGAATTGTGAATGATTGTAGATTTTATTTAAGAGATTGAGAGAAATGGGGAGGGGAGGGGGGGGGGGTTCAAGAGTGTGGAACTGATAAATTAGATTTTGATCATTTTTGATCTTTTTTGATTTTTTTGATCAGTTCCACATCTGGAGGAGGGGGGAGGAGGTATGGCTAAGTTGCCATTTTTTAAACTATTTAACTCATTTAAAGTCACTTTATTTGATGAAATGACCAAACATTCAACCACAGATCTTAGGGAACCCAGCAAATTTATTACAAATCAGAGGATCTATCCTGCTTAATAAATGAATCAGAAACTAACCATATTTCATAATAAATCTATGAATTTTCAAAGCAGATGTCTAATTGACAATCCATGTTGGATTCATTGACTCCATTAATATATTGACACAATTATCTGTCTATTTACGGAATCTAAAAAGAGGATGTTTACCAATTTGCACACAATCACGTGCCGTTATTCATAAAACAACACCAGCATTTGCTTGGCAAACATATGTGCATCATAAAAACTTGCTTGAAAAAAATTCATACGCAATGTTTGTAAACAAGTAGGCATGAAAAACATTTCCTTGCTATTTTATTTGTCGTGCCTCTTTCACTGCCCTCGTTCCTCATTATTACAAATTTTTTTTGCACGTTTATAGTAAACAAATAAAGAACTCAGATCATTCATTGCAGCATTTAATCTTAATTGACGTCAATAAAAGCGAATCATTGTGATAATTTGTTATTTATATACTGTCAAAATATTAGCTTTAAATGTGAATTAAGAGCTTTTGAGAGTGGCGAGAGAGATGCTCAATAATCATTAAAATTGTAATCAAATACAACTTTATTTTGTAACAGACTGTAATAATGATACTTATTAAGTTACACATCTAATTAGTAAAATGAGGCATTATTAGTATTAAAGTTTTGAATTAAGCTACAATAATGTGAATGTTTTTGAATAGCTAAAGAATAGATTTAAATGAGATCTTAATTTGAAGTTCAATTGGTGCAGCTATGCAAGTGATGCAGTGAACTTTTTTTTAAAAGACAGACGACAGTTGGAACGTTACATACTTCTTGACACCCCCCCCCCCCCCCCTAAAATGCGAACGTAATAGGTGAACTGCTCCTTTTATGTCTGGTACGAACAATTCATGTTCGAAAGTCTAAGGGTGTTAAAATATGCACGTTAGTAAAATTCAAATTTCAAAAAACCGTTAAAAGTTTTAATGGTTTTTGTAGAGTTTTTTGTTCATTATTTGAAACTTTTAGCTACACTATGCTCATTAGTAACTGATTATATAATATTGACACCAAAGTGTCATGTAAAACTAATTTTATCAAGGCTCCTGCAGATTATAATCTTGGTTTAAAAGATGATATTCTGCAGGAGCCTTAAATTTGATTTTAGTTTTTGTTATTTCCGAATTTGCGAAATCAGGGTGTGCAATTTCGAATCTTGTATGACAGACAGACAAATAAGAAACTGTAACGGTTAAAATTCTTGAATTGCTCGTATTAGTTTTATGCAATTGTGAACAAACTCATCAAAATAATCTAAAATGATCCAAAAATGATGAAATTTGATAAAAGCATAGTTATTCATTATCACTTCCTTGTTCATGAGTTTATATTGTTTTGGAGTTCAATGTCTTTGTCGTAATGACGACAGCTTAAACTTGTAATTGAACTTGATATTGAAAATTCATGTTGATGATTAGATTTATCATTCAGAATCACTTAGTCAACTCCGTTAAACTTTATTGAAGTTGAGACGAGAAATTAAAAGATTTTACATTTGAAAATTGCACTAAAATCCTTCAATTTGAAAATTTAAATCAGAATTGAATTTTTTGAAGCCTTTAATCGACTTTAAATATCACAAACTCTCTCGATAATTTAACTTTTCGCCATTCTTAAGTCTGCACTTTAGATACTCACATGACAATGTCTTCTTCCTTTTCATTTTCGTACAATCAGCAAGCGTACAATCAAAAATGTGACTTCTTTTTTTGAGAGAGAATTGATTATTCATTCACTTATTTTCATTCATTTATTTCGTTCATTCATCATTTAAATTTTTATATTGAGACAGTGAGATGAATTGGAAATTCAGTTTTATTTCTCGACATTCATTTCAGTTTGAAACGTGAATAAATCAACAAGTGCTCCTCAATAGCTCTTCAATTTTTTTATTTTATTTGAATTAAAAAAAAGAGTCTTATTGCGCTTTATCAAAAGAATTGCAATAAAATATATAATTTATTCCAAAAGGGCAGAACGATTGATTTGTGAATTTTGAAAAGTTTTTCACACTTAACTTGAATGGATCAAAAAAGGACAGTTTTGGTTGGGATTTTAGTGATTTGCATTTTACTGCCGTGTGCTTTCACAAAACCACAGATTAATGTAAGGATATTTATTTTTTTTAAAGTGAATTTTAAAATAGCTGAAAATTTGATTTTTTTCAATTTTTAAAAATTGATTTAAAGATTTTGCAGCCAAGTTAAAATTCAATATTCGATGAAAAACAATCTCATAGCTCTAAACAATCGCAAAACATTACAAAAAATTCAGCAACACATGTCTCTACATTTCCTCTAAATTAATGAAGCGTAAAAAAACTCAAAAATTTGACTATTACAGCAAACACGTTACTTGATTGTATAAAATATGATAGCTCGTCAATCTTTACGCTCTTGTAATCAATTAATTAATTTCTGTTGATCTTTTAGTCATTGAAGATGTCAATGAAATATGTTGACTCTATTTATTTCGGCGGGCATTAATTTATTAGGTCGATTAATAATTCAGGTTGATAAAGGAGAACGGGAAATAGTTTTTGGTAGATATTAGAGAATTAATTAATTAATTAAGTTATGAGTGAAGATTTAAGTGAGGTTCACCATTAAGACCCATTGCAAAGACGTAGAACGAGCAGTTTTAGTTTGGTGCCAAATTCAGCCTTAACTGAATTATGTTGGTTTTGTTCTGTTTTGGATTATTCAATCCAGTTGAGTTGATAGTTAATATCTCCACCTTAGTGAAACCTTTTGGTGATCTCTTAAAAGCTAGAGTCATGATCACAATATCATTTCTGCCAAGTAATCCCCTTGCACAGTCTTAAAAGCTCATCCTTGAATTCCATCAAAATCCACAACTATGAAAGCTACTCTTACTCACACTCCCACCAAAGCCCAATCAAAATGCTTCCTTACTACTTTACATCGTAGTCAAATCATGTCAATTTTAATAAATCCTAGACAATTTATTACAAATATTTCCTAACAAATCAAATTTTGTTCGACCTTGACGGCTATTAAACGATTCATTTCCGTTAAACTTTGAAACCGGTTAAAACCGGCTTAATTATTAAAACGTGAACATTTATTTTTATGGCGGGAAAATGATTTGCAGTGATCTACTTGAATTACTGATAAACTCACATCCGATTAAGGTCTGCAAAGTACTTACTTAATCAAGTTTTGGCATCAAGAATGTCTGCTAAATGTCAGTTCCATCTGAGAAAAAGTTGAAAATCTGTTTTTTTTTGTTATTTCGTACAATGCCCTCACCCGAAAACAAAATACTCATAGACATTGATAAACAGACTTTAAGTGTAAGAAAGGCGAACAGTCAAGGCGAGTCAATAAAAAATTGTGCCAAAACTATAAAAACATAAACAGAATTGATGAATTAAATGAACCGGATAAATTAGATACACATGTGCGTCGTAGATTTAGAGTGAGACGAATTTTTATAAATTGGCGCCAATAAGTATGATTTGGATTCGTGACTTAGAAAAGGAAAGAGTGATTTTTGGATATGTGGATATGCTAGGGTCTCTGGGTTTTCCCAAGGCTCCTCAAATGGCATTACATCGATTTTTAATTCTATGTCTAGGTGCCTTTAGTAGCCTCAGACACCACCCCTGAGGATATATTCCCAAAACTCTGCACAATTTAGCCAAAATTTTATTCAAATCATAACTTGATTAATCTGAAGGACATTTGATTCTGGAGGAGTGTCTTGTTTACTAACATTTCTACGCTTCATTCTATTCTATTTTCAGTCAAACATTCCGACATGCGGGAGTAGAACATCATGCAAATGGCTTTATTACGGAACAGACACGCTGGGAAAACGATACACAAAGCAGATAATCGTAAATAATAAGTAAGTGTGCTTATATGAATTTTATTTAATTCTCATATTTACTTGGAATTTGATCTACAGATGTACATGCTTGCCCTCACAATCATGCGTTTATGATGAGGAGAATATTTCGCTAGATCTTATGGTCTATCGATGCCGAGACGATCCAACACCACCAATCTCAAAACCCGAGAAACCATCGAATCAAAGCTCAACTTAAGAATTATTGAATATACTTTAAGGAATTTTAAGACCAAATGTTAGTATTAGAGAATTTTTATAAAAAAAAACCATCGAGATTGAATGAAAGTTCAATCGTGGTGTCTAGAGACTTATTAGATATAGAACATGAGACATGTTTTGCTAAACTTTTATTTGAAGATTAAAATACTTACAGTAGATTTCAATAAAATATTTACTTAATTAAAACGATATTTTTGATTGTTTAATTATGATGTTCAAGAAAGATTTGGCATGCAGGTAGATATACTTGGTGTGAGCTCAAATCACCAACTGTAAATAGTCTCATCAGCAAGTAGCTACATTCTGATTTTAGATCATCCAGTTTTCTAAAGGTTAACAAATCTTATGTTTTGGGGAACTTCTTTTGGTTCATTCATAAATGACGTCACAAATTTCCAAACAAATAAAAAACTCTGTATTGAGGACTCACAAAGCTTAAGACCCCACTCTTTCTTTAAATTCCTTTATTATCAACGTTTTTGGTATGGAAACTTCAAACTTGTTTTGTATAACCCCGAAAGGCACACGGCTTAAAAATGGCTTTTAATCTTACATCCAGGATGAAATGAGCACGGCATTACGATAGACTTCACTAATATTGGCGTGCTGACTCGTTCATGCTTGATTGACAGCCAGTTTTACGCCGTGTGCTTTTCGGGAACATAATATTGATTAAAAGAATTCAATAAGAACATCCTGGTAACATATGATAGCAGGTGTCTTTGTCATTTGAATATAAATTGACAAACTGATGCAGAGGAGGATGTGGGAAGGTAGCTTTGTATATAGATATAGCTATATATCTTAGGGTAGGTTTGAAGCTATAGGTAAAGCAGCTAGATTTTAATGGAATGATTAAAGGTGAAGATTCTGTTGTTTTACACTTAGTGTGGATTTTGTATCAAATTTTGGCTAAACTGATGCCAAGCCAGTTTCAAGCTGGCGAAAATTCCCTTTGTCCAATGTAAATTAACATTTTAAAGAACTGCGAGCAATAAAAAAAATCACGCACAAAATATTTTACAGCTGAGACCCGAATTTCCATTGTATTTCAATTATCCTCTATTTTGCTTATGCTTTCTGCTTTTATTGACTCTATTGCGTTATCTTTCTTTAATAAGCATACAATTGAAATATATTAGATGCCTAAAAATAGCCTTTATGCTCAACAGCATCACTTGTCTATAATTTATTTGAGATATGCGTAATTGTCATTCATTTGCTTTGTTCAAACAATGCAAATTCATTCTACGTGACATAAATCATCACAAAGAAAGCAAGTCTACAATCAACAGCAAAATTCACAGTTACCCTCTGCTCCTAATAATTATTATCAAATAAACACATTACATCACCTAGCTATTAAAAACTTTTATTTGCTCTTGTTTACTAACTCGTTCTATATGTCAACAAACTTCCAAAAAATAATATAAAAGAGGAACTAAATAGCAAGAAAATGACGACTGTTACTATTTTTATTTTCATACAACATTCCACATTTTTCTACAAGAATCAGCAACATTCGATTGTATATTTCAGTATATTTAAATTCATTCATGAATTTCATTCAAGATTTTTTTCTTTCGGACTCTTGTTTTTTTTTGATCTGCTGATAGGTTGACATTTCCAGACATTTCATTGATAATTTTGCAACAATGATTAAACCATCAAAAATATTTTTTAATTTAAATAATAAAATTAGTAAACGTAAATAACAAGACTGATGATAATGAACTTGATCGTTCTTATTAATTTTTTGTATGTTAAGCACAAATGACTTTAGTAGTAATATTGAGGTAGTTCATATTTTTTGATTTATTTTAATTATTCAGTTTTGATTATTTGGCTCGTGCACTTATTACGTTATGCAAATAAAAATCTATTTTCCCCTTGCAAGAGGTATGAATGATGCGAAAAAATGAGAGTGAATTTGATGCCAATTATTACAAAGTCCTATACCCCATCCCCTCTTTGAAGCATCATGTCTTTACTGATTTTGTAAAATTGTTTTAAATAATAAGCAGAATACTCAGAAAAATATGTTTTTAAAGGTCCCAACTCGTATTATGGAAACTTTAGCTACTCGTGATTTTTAAAAGATCTTTCTTTTTGATAGGAAATTGATAAGTAAAAACTTTCGCAACTTTGAAATCACTAAATTCTGTACGTTAATTAAGGGGCCGTTCACTTATTACGTTCGCATTTTAGGGGGGAGGGGGGGTTTGAAAAATTGTAACAAAATGTAACATAGGGGGGGGGGGGGGGTGTCAAGAAGAATGTAACGTTCTTACTGTCGTCTGTCTTTTAAAAAAAAGTTCACGAAAAAAATTTGAATTATGAACGTTCAAGGGGGGGTTGCGAGTTGTTGACTTTACCAAGACTTTACTAATGTCTCGAGATGGAAAAATATTAGCGACATTTAATTTACTTACTTATTTTCCTTGCTGGGGTGCAGGTGGGCCCATTGTTGCGTTCAGAGCGCGTCTTTAAACCTTCTGCCAGTTCGAGATATTATCAACGCATCAAAACTAGGTATTTAACTTACGAATAATTAATAATTTTCATTGCTGAGTTAAAAACATAATCAAAGCCTTCTCGTTTTCAAAATGCAACTTAATTTTTTCCAAATTCTTTACACTCTTTAAAAGCTCACTGTAATTTCTTTCAAATTTTCAATCACTTTCATTTGTAAGAAATTAAATTTGGTGCTGTAAGGAAGAGCGAATATCTAGAAATACCAGAAAAAAACATAAATCGCCTTCAAGTTATGCAATTATTAATGACTACCCTGTATACACCAGATTTGAATGAAATCGATCATGATCAAGGGTGTGGAACTGAAGAATTACATTTTGATCAATTTTGATCATTTTTGATCATTTCATCAGTACCACACCCTTGATCATGATTGCCACTCTAAATACAACTAGTCATCATTGAAGAGGAGCAAGGTCCAAGCGGCATAAAAAGGATTTGCTTGGGTCGATGTCAAAAAATGTAATTTCTTCTCGATTTTTTTGATACGCCTTTCCCAAGATGTCTTGATTATTTCGCATTCTACTCAATTAATTGAAGCTTAGGTGCATAGTCGGGAATGGAGTCAGAAAAAGGGGGGGGGGGGGGGGGGGGAAGGGTTGAATTTTTATTGTATAGAAAGAAAAATCTAAGAGAGGGGGGTGGGGGTTGACTCCAATCCCGGGAGAAAGGAACAAATATATAGACTCGATCATGATCGCGATGCCTTCAGCTCGTCGCAACGTCGAGTAACACATCGCTTGGCTGGCATCACACATCTCACATTATAATTATTATTATATTATATAGACTACGCCTCCTGCTGTAGCTTAATATGTAGACACTGCATCCGTAAATCCGTTGAATTAAAAGCATCTTCATTGCCTTAATTTTCATTCCATTACCTCAATTAAAATCGCTTCACTGCTCCTTTATTGACACAAAAAGTTCTCACAAAAAGTAAAATATGTCGGTACGTGAACAAAAAGAGGAACAAAACCACAGCAAATAAAAGAGCAATTCAATAAATTTATTATTATATAAAATAATGAACAAGAATAAAAAAAAGTTACATTAATAAATTTTCCCTTAAAAGCAATAAATAATTTGGCAAGGCAATATTAATCTAGAAAAAATTTTCAGCCTCATTAAATTCACGGTTCATGTATCGCATTTGAGTTTTGTTTCGTTTGTTTCGCTGTTTGTTATAAATTATTGACACAATAAAACCAGCAATTACGAGAATTCCAAAAATCCATATCCAATATTCCTGTCGGTTGTGCCACTCAATTTTATTTGCAGTCACTGTATTTTCACCTTTCAACATAATTATGTTATTATGTTCCGTGCATGTTGTGGAAGTGGTTGTGGTTGACTGTGTAGTGTTTAATTGTGATTCTGTTGTTAAATTATTAATTTTAGGTGTCTGAGTAGTTGGAATTAGCAGCAGCGGCAGGAGAGTGCTTGGAGAGGCTGTTGTAGTTGCTATGAAATCTATATGCATGTTAAGGAATCTAGTGTCATTATGAAATCTCATTTCATCCATGTCGACTGCTGTTAATGGATTATTAATGAAACTTATGTAAGTCAGCTTATGGAATTTTTTGCGGATATCCTCGAGTTCTACATTTTTAATATTGTTGGATTCAAGATTTATTTTAATAGCTTTTCTAAAGTATTTGAGGTTATTGACACTGTCAAGCTTATTGTGTGATAAATCAAGGATTTCAACATTAATTCCAACCTCATCTGACTTCTGTCCATCATCATCAACTTCTTGTGCTTCTGAACTTTCTGAATATTCGCTATATTCAACCATTTCATTGTTGTCTGCAAGTCTTTCAATCTGATTGTACGATAATTGTAGAACTTTTGCATCAGTAACTTCAATCTGAGATAAATATTTAAATTCATTATGCGACAAGTCTAAAATTTTAAAATTTCCATCAGCACTGAACGAAGTAATTTGATTATGTCTAGCATATAATTCCATTCCGTCCGCATGATGAATATTTAAAGATTTGAGTGAATTGTTTGTAAGTTTTAATTCCTTAATTTCAATATTTAAATCATTAAAATCTTCAATTAAATTCCTCGACAAATCCATTAACTCCAAGTGCAGCAAGTGATTATTTAATCCAGCAGTTCCATGAATCTTGTGCAATAAATTGTCATGAAGATAAATTTTCTTTAAATTCTCATGCTTCAAAAACACGTGATCGTAATTAAAATGAACAAAGCAATTGTGACTCAAATCGAGAATCTCAATTTCGCTGAGATGGATAAATAGATGTGACTTAACATTCGAAATTGCATTGTGAGATAAATTGAGAAATTTTAAAGATGGAAAAGTCTCATTTCCTATGTCATCAATTTTCTCTAATCCATTGTATGATGCATGCAGCATTATTAAATTTGTGAAGCTTATGTTCATTTTTGGTAGCTGCACGTTTGTATTCGAAACATCCAAAAGAATTACTGCATTTGCTGAATTTTCAAATCCATAATATCCCAATTGCTTTCCATTTACTGTAATTTTCGTTTCCTTTCGCTTTCCAATATTATTATTGAAATCCCTTTGGGTTCGATCGATGCATTCAGCTTTTAGAATTTCATAGTTGTGCGATGGATATGCTAGTGTATAAAAGTTCATTGATGACCAAAGCAGAAGGAGATGTAAAGTTCTATTGATGAGAAATGAAAATAAAAAGGTAAGGAAAGGTAAGTAAATTGGATAGAAATACACAATGGGACTTCATGTTTTTCATGAAGAAGTCAGAGTCAATTTATTTTCTGTGCATTAGTGGCAGACGTTAGAAGAATATTAAAATTATTTTAAGAAATGTTTTTGGAATAGACAGTTTGGCGCAAATTTAAGAATTACAACTTAATCTTAGACTTGGATACGCTCATTAAAATGATCATGGAACTAGTTATATTTGAATTTAAAAAGAAAAATCACTGATTATAGAATAACTCGGTATAGTCCTTGAAGTCGTCATTTTTGAAACTTATATGGTAAGGCACTATAAAAGCCAATAACTGACAGTGCTGAATCTAATTATATTATGTAATTTGTGGTGTCTGAGCGCAGTCGAATCCGGGGTATTGATCCATACATATATAAGCGAAGCTGCCAGTGCAAGAGCTAGACCTCTTTTGCATGATTGTTTAGGCAACAAACCGAAAATACTTTTGACCTTCTTTTGTGAGGACGAAGGTTCGATTCCTACCAAAGACAAATCTCTCAATCTATCCTATATAAAATGTTGTCGATATGAGTTTTTGGCCCTTTTCTCCCTCTTACCACCAATTGTCCGTGAAGGAAACTTTGAGATCACTCGAAACTCTTTTAATAACTCATTTGAGCCATTTTAACAAAGACAAGTTGTGCTGATATATACTTGTGTATCTCAGTCTACATAGTTTTTGCATTTATTACGTAACGCTTTTAAGGGAATGGGGGATGGTGGGTTCTGTGATTTTGCGACGGTTAAAAAAAGAAATTCTTCTTACAAATTTTATTACAAGAAAGGAGGTTGTTCTAAAAAATCTTTATTTCGTATTACTTAATAAGTGATTGAACTTTTGTATAAGACAGTAATTAGACCTGTAGTGATGTATGGTTCAGAGTCATGGAACATGACTTCGAACGATGAATTTGCAATTGGCGTCTTCGAGAGGAAGGTTTTGAGAACAATACTTGGACCAAAAAAGGAATGAGACTTTTTTAAGAGCAGGAGCAACGCAGAACTATATCAGTTATTCAAGGAAACTGATATTGTAAAGCGGATCAAGGTCAACAGACTACGTTGGGTTGGTCATATTATCAGGAGACCTGAAGAAGCTCCAATTAACAAAATCTTTAAGTCTCATTTTGTAGACGGAAAGAGAATGCGCGGACGACCAAAGAATTCCTGGAAGGAAGCTGTTGACAGATATAGCATAGCATTTGGTATTGGAGATTGGCAAAGAGGAGCCAACGACAGAGTCTTTTTCAGACGCAAACTAAGGGAGGCTATGGATCACAATTGATCTGTAAAGCCAGCGATGTATGTATGTATGATTGAACTTTTAAGTTATTTTGAAAAACTTACACAATTCGTATTTGCAACATTTTTTCTTTGTTTTCTGTTTTATTTTTATATCAAGAAAGCTAGTTTTTTTAAAAATTATTTGCACTGCTAGCAATTTTCACTTTGTTATATTGTCTTGTCCTGATTAAAGTTCTTTAATTTTTTACTTTTTTTGATTAAGTTTATTTTCTTTTCTAATAATTCTCACTTTATTGATTACTTATTGATCCTTACTGTTCAACACTTCACAATCTACTAATCACTTTAATTCAAACTTTAACTCATAAATTATAACTCAATTTATAAAAAAATAAATCCCTCCGATCAACAATTTACTGTTTTCATCTCACTCAAAAGTAGAACAAAGTTGATAGCGACGATGCTGTCATTGACAAAAAATTAGATCAGTGTTTCACTATCAAGTGAAAATATTTACTGTAGACATTCATCAAGGAAGAATTATCATCATTTATATGCGGTGGTGCTTTTATCAACCTTGACATGATTGCATTGAATTTTTTTTTCTACACTCCATGAACTTCTGTGAATGCTGTTGTCATGATGAAACTGTAACTTTATTGAACGTTCTCGTTGAGTTATGTATGTACGCAATCAGGAAGTTTATGAAACGAGCTTTGTTGGATTTTTAACAAAATTAATACTTTTATTAAAAAGACAGGTTGAGGCAGGGCGTAGCCTTGGGAGTTTGGAGTCAACACATTTTTTGAATTTTTTAATTTCCTGGGGTTTTTTGAGAAAATAAATCTTAACCCGTCTTTCCCATTCTTAACCTTTCCCCCCTTTCCTCATTTTTCTTGATTGACGTCTTCAGTCAGTGTTTCTCAAACTATGCTCCGCGGAGCTTTACAGTTCCTTGACCGTAGACGTGTCAATAGTGGTTGATAAACTGCTCCGTGACCAGAAAAAGCAGTTAAGTGTCTTGCTGGTCGAATAAGTAAGGCGCTTTTCTCAAATTTGGGATGGTAACTCGAAGGTCATCGGTTCGAATCCAGCCATTTCCAAATTTGTTCTTTTTCGGAAGTTTAGATACTTCGAATGCTTAATGTAGGAGATCAAGCCATAATTGGGCATTTTGGGCAACGTTGGATTAAGGAACGGATCAGGAACTTGAAGTGTAGCGGGAAGAATAGGAACGAGATCTACAAGATTACCCACGAATGGAATATTTTTAGAACGGACCTGAAAAGTATCACGTCACGCCTACAGAAGATCGAAACGAGAGCCTTAGTTTATTTGAAACCTAGATTTGAAGATTAGAAGTTTGATCCTACATAATACTAATTCATATGTATACAAATATAAAAGTGTAAAATGTGAATTTATACCGGATAGTATGTCGTCAATAAATGCAATAAAGTGCAAATAAAATGAAAAAAAAAGGTTTAGAAACACTGTCTTTAATATCAATCGAATATGCAAAGGCCAATATTTTTAATCAAGAGGTAACAAACAGACGCTATCATTGCTCTAGTCGTAAGTTTTTAATTTTGCCTGAGCAATCAAAACCTTTAACAAGCCACTAGTATCAAAAATCTCATCATTAATAGAAATCTTTTCTATCTCGAACATTCTCTGAATCAATCGACACGTCCCACTTTTGTCTCAATATATCAATAAACTTTGCTATTTTCAAAAGATTCTCTGTAGCAAAGATAAAAAAATTTTCTCATTAAAACTTTTTATCCCCACATTTGTGTGGAAAAGTCGTAGTTTTTGCCATGCCACGTGCAATAAAAAATGTTTATTAATAATTTATTATTTCCATCAATGCGAAAGAAAATAATACAAAAACCAGCTTATTGTGCTAAAAATAAATAAATACACAAAATTCAGGATGGAATGCAGAAAAAAATGATTAATTTGTTATAGTAATCGTTATTGGATGTGGCTTTCAGGCCGAAAGTTTAATGATTATCATTATTATCCATTCTGAACACAATCGATGGACAATAATTCTCTCTTTTTTCTCGTAGAAGAACAAAGGTTAGGACAAAAATATCGGAATGGAAATAAATTAAGGAGATTATTTCTCAATTATTTTCTGATTACTTGACATTTATTCATTTTATGATTACTTTTTTTCGGGCTTCTTCTGTTTTATTCTCACGCTCAGAGAATGACTCGGACAGATGGTAATAAATTTGAAGAAAATACTCATCGATTAAGGCACAAATTAATTATTTATTATTAAGATGAGAATGTTGAGGCTGTGGAGAGGGAATTTTTGTGATTTTGAAACTGACCGGTTTTAATGGCTTACTTATGATTCCATTTGAGTCGTGTTCTTTGATTAGTTTGGAGGGAGGGGGGGGGGGGGGGGTGCTTAGAATAATATTAAGGAACGCAACCCAGATTTTCGGAAATTCAAGAGTTGAATGATTTCCTGTAAAGTCTCAGAAACTGGATGTAAAATTGATAGAAACCCATCTTGTACTTGCCTTCTTGATTGTACCAAAAATCGATATCCAAATCAAAATCATAAACAACATCAAATCTCAATTTCAATCAACACCTCCAATCAAATATTTAATCTTATAATTAAACAACAAAAGCACCACAGAAGATGCAAGATAATCTAAAAAATATTGTTTCCCATTACCAGCTACAATACAATTCCAATAATGCAGCTCCTTTCAAGACAAACAATTCTCTTTACAGCATTTTGTATTACTTCCTCAATACATTACAGTTTAAAAAGCACTAACAACAAAAAAAAAAACTTTATATTGAATCATTTATTATCGTTCTATCACACATAATGCTATCATTGAATGAGATTTTTCATCACCTTTTGCAATTCTGTCGTTCACTTGAGTGAACATGCCCGAGCTGTACAAAATGTCAACTGGAGTTGTACAAAATGTAGCTATCAACATCAATGTTACTGAGATGAGTTAAGGGGTTGTAGAAGTCGTCAATCTAGTTGAATTGTTTGTTTAATTATTAGTCAGAACTCTGCCGTTGAGAAGCTACAGCAACGGATTCAAATCTTACTTACTTACTCACTTCGTACAGATCAATTGTAATCCATTACCTCCCCTAGTTGACGCATCGTGATCTCTAGCCATCTGCGAAGTCAGATTTAAAGACCTACTTTAATGGAGCTTCCACAGGTCTCCTTATAATATGTCCAGCCTATCGGAGCCTGTCTACTTTAATCCATTTCTCTTTATCATCTTCCTTAAACAACTGATAGACTTCTGCATTCCTCCTACATTTGAATAGGTCTCCTCCCAAGGGTGTGGTACTGATGAAATGATCAAAAATGATCAAAAAATTATCAAAAATGTTCAAAAATGATCAAAATTGATCAAAAATGATCGAAATGTAATTCTTCAGTTCCACACCCTTGTCTCCTCCTTTCTTGGAGGATTTCAAAACACCTAAATCATGAATGGGCTTAAAAGTAGTAGCTGTGATCTTCACGGGTAGACAGTAATTTTTTGAGCAGGGTAAGATAGACTAGTTCTAGTTCCTAGTCACCTGGTTGCCCCCCCCCCCCCCCATATAGTTTTAATAGACTCATGCATCATGAACGTCATTTTGACATGATGAAAAAATTGCCAACCCTTCAAATATTTTTTTTTGTGTTTCTCGGGCTTAAAAAAATTGAAAGACAATTTATTTATTTTCGGGATCAAAAAGCATTCTTGTTTGATTATTTTTACGCCACTAGTGTTGAAATTGACACATTCTTTCTCTTTTATTTTCACATTAAACCATCATTTCACCTTAAAAGTCATTATTTGAAATCAATTTACTTTAGATTTTGATTGAATGCTTTTTGCTGTACTTTCTTTTGTAAAGCTAAGGATTTTCGAATTTCTGCTTCTTGTTGAGTTTTGTGTGAATGAAAAAAAACCTTTTGATGGATACACATGGACAGATGAAAAATGGATATAAAGTGAAGGAAATGGAATTAATTTTTCTTATTTTTTTTCTCGATAAGGCTTTGCACTTTTGCTATTTTTTATATTTGTTGAAATCAAAATGAAGCAAACCCTCAGGACAGGTGAGAAAGTAATGAAATACCAAAAAAAAGTAAATTTTTCATCCTTTTCTTGCTTATCATTTTTCATTTTCAGCTAGAATCTTTGGGGCCGTTCACTTATGACGTCCATCGAAAAATGAGATTTTTAGACCCCCCTTTCCCCCTCTGTCACATAATTTTCATACAAAAAATCTTTTGTATTGAGGTGTCACACAGCTTTAGACCTCCTCCCCCCTAAATGTTGGACGTCATATGTGAACGACCCCTTTTCTTGATTATGTTTATTTATTTTTTGGTATTTGAAAATGTATGAGAGGAAAAATAAAGTCTGAGATGATGTAGAATTTATTGTGCAAATATTTAAAGAAATACCTCAGAAAAGCATTTTTGGTAATCAATTTTGAATTTTGATAAATTAATGTTGATAATTCGTGTCCTACCCAGTATTGCTTTATGGCACAGAGTCATGGAATATAACTTCATCAGACGAGCATGCAATTGGTGTTTTCTAGAGGAGGATCCTTGAAAGCATCTTTGGATCTAAGAATGAAGGAGATTTTTACAAGTGCAGGAGCAATGCAGAGTTGTATCATCTCTTTACAGAAGAGTAACTCCTCATAAGTTATTAAGTAAGGTCTTTAAGTCAGACTTTGTGGATGTAACGATCTGAATCGCAGTGCCTCCAGCTCGTCGCAATGTGAAGTAACACATCACCAAGCTGGAACCCTCTCACATTATTATTTTTATTGTGAATGGAAAAAGAGCACGTGGAAAACCAAAGAACTCATGAAAAGAGGCTGTTGATAGAGACAGTATTGCATTTGGTATAGGAAATTGGAAAGCAGTAGCCAGTGATAGAGCCAGTTTAAGGCGGCATATGAGAAGGGCCATGGATCACAATTGATCTGTAAAGTCATCGAATTAAGTAAAGTAAGTCGTGTCTTTGACATTGTTGACAGGTCACCAGTTTAGGCGTGATCTCAGAAAAGGGAGTTGAGGGGGGGGGGGGGGTGGGGGGAGGTGATTTAT